CAAGAGGGAATTTACCCGAGTTGTTAATATGGGAAAACAGATTTGCAAGAAAGGGGGCCCAGCAATCTATGTTTGCCTTCAACATTTTCAAGAGGAAACATTTAGAGATCCCTGAAGCTGCTTATTTATTATCCTATATTTTCTGTATGATGCCACAATTACAACAATTGTATGTGATTACAGATGATCACCCAAAGTACATTACAGCAGGCCTTCAACTTTCATGGGGCACAGCCACCCATGAAAATGGAAAAACTGCAAATATTTTAAGCCCCTCAAACATGCATGCTAGAGACTCTGCTGCTGCAAAAATTTCCACCTTGTTATTAGGCAACCCCTGCTGCAAGTCTATCGCCTCTGCTGCCAGTCTCCAAGCCTTCCCCTTCCACCTCCTAAGACAACAACACCGATGTAGAAATCTCCTGCAGTGTCATCCTGCTTCTCTCAAGGAAAAGGAAGATGACACTAAATTAGTTTTTTTGTAGCAGCTTGGGCCAGGCCAGGCCCAGGCCACGCCGCCGCCCACCATGATGATATTGATTATTGTTGTTATTACTTGTTCTTGAGGTTTTCTTGGCAAAATCTCCACAGGGGTTTTGCCATCATGGCTTTTCTGAGGCTGAGACAGTGTGCATGCATCCCTGCTTGTTTGTGGGCCTGCCTTCCAGTCGTTTCCATGATGATAATTATTATTGTTGTTATTACTTGTTCTTGGGGTTTTCTTGGCAAAATCTCCACAGGGGTTTTGCCATGGCTTTTCTGGGGCTGAGAGAGTGTGCATGCATATTTTTTATTTTTATTTATTTATTTATTGCTTCAGCCCCCCAAATGTCTGAAGCACAGCAACCCGGCCCCCGGCTCAAAAAGGTTGCCTACCCCTGCCTTAGAGTAAAAACTTGAGATGTCTGCCTACTGGTATCTCCACTGAGAATTTTCTCATTCTTTTTTTTAAAAAAAAATTAAGCAGCCTTCACACTTATGCCTAATAGTGGCTCTGCTACCAAAAGGGCTAGCTACATGCATTTTAAAATAAAACAGGTATTTAGGATGAATAATTATTGGACAAAATAAAAGCTACATGGCGTGATTACATCCGATGTCATCTGGGGGAGAGGCAACAGGCCCAGCACCATTGGGCCTAGACTACCTTTTAAAACTTATCTTTTAAGGGGCGGATGGGTTTCGGGATTTTTAGGTTCTATTTACATTGTATTAACATATCTTTATGTAAATTTTAATGTTGCAAGCCTCCCCGATTGCTCTGCAGAGGGGCGGGATATAAATTATTATTATTATTATTATTATTATTATGGAATATTTCTTCCCACAGGTCAGTGTCTTCAGTGTAGCTTTGTAATACATTGTTGCATAGCATTTTTAAAAAATTGTCCAATTAATCCAATATTGCAGGGAATTCTGTAAGCATCAATTGTCAAAACTATCTGTTTCACAGAAGACAACAAATTCAGAGTTTCCTCACACATGAAAATTCTTCACATACTTGTCAAGTCTGGAAAATGTATTTCAAAATCTAGGTGCCAGCGTGTAGTTTTATACTTTCCATTCATCTGCATTTTTCCAACTTACATATTAATAATGGAATTTGCATGTTCAAGCTCAGAAAATATTTATAATATTTATAAGTAGGACACACCATTTTCCTAGTGCCTCTGGGCACACCTTCAACATCTCTCTGCAGGCCTAGATACATTCAGAGGAAGGAGACAGTGCCGCCATCCAGTGCTTCTCCACTCCACTTTAAGAAGGGTGTGGGAGATGAGATTGGGCTTGAGGACACTACTTACTATCCTTAGCATTTATTCTCCCCTCCTGCCACCCAGTAAGCTTGCTGAGGGACCCAACAAGCATGAGTACGCACCACTTTTTCTTCATTATAAAATTAGGCTCAGGTAGCCTAACCCTGAGACTAATTTTCTTTGCCACCAAATGCCCCAAGTTTCCCATACACACATTAGAGGAGTGCACAGACACATATACACACACACACAAAGTGTAAAACAGAACACAATGCACTTGTCCAATGTGGCATATTTCCACTCAGTCCCAGGCCCAGTGTAACCACCCTCCAACATCTGGTAAATTTGTGGATGGGGAAGGGCTCCAGTCTAGCACAGGGCTTTGGAACCAGAACAATCTTGCACACAATAGAGAAAGTCTTGATGACAACTGATTACAGTTAACAGTAGAAATGGAAGCATTGGTAGCTTGAGCAAGCAGTGAGGATGCAGGAAGCCTTTTCTAGTAAAAATGCAAGACATAAAAATGCAAGATACCACACACTTTGATTCCACTTTAAAACTCATGATGCCATCCTATGGAATCATGTTTCCTATGGAATCAGTTGTAGTTTAGTGAAACACTAGTGCTCTCTCACAGAGAATTCTAAATAACTCACTACAGATCCAGGATTCCCTAGAATAGAGCATGAGAGCTAAAGTGGAATTAAAGTGCCATAATTCTGTAGTATAAAATAGATCTTAGATATAACTTTTCCACCTTAAGAAATTTCTTGTACTGGGAGTTCTGGGTTCTATAAATATGTAATAGCCTATAGCAATTCATGGGGGGAAAGCATTTAAAGCAGTTAAAGGTCTTGTTGTTATGTACTTTCAAGTTATATCCACCTTATGGCAACCCTAAGACAAATCTATCACCAGTTTTCTTGTTCAGAGAGGGTTTGCCATTGCTCTCCTCTGAGGCTGAGAGCATGTGATTTGCCCATTCAGTGGGTTTCATACTTGAGTAAGGAATCAAACCCTGGTCTCCAGAGTCATAGTCCAACAGTTAAGCCAGTATGCCATGCTGGCTCTCCTTACTACTTCTAAAATAGTTTTGAAGCTTACTCACTAGCTTATGCTACTTTTAGCAATGCATTGTCAAGAGTTCATTGCCTCAGCAAAAGAAAAGAAAATTCTTTCAACTGAAGGGTGTGGCAGGAATGCATGTCAGATGAGTGTGGGTGATAAAAGTTGGCTGAGTTGACTTAATGAAGAGGAAGGGGGGGATGCAGATTGGGGCCGAGGCGTGGGGCAGCCTCGGCCCCAATCCACCCTTTTGCCGGTCCTTCCAGAGCCGGCAAATAGGGCACCCAAAGAGCGACTCTTCTGCGTCCCTTCCGGCGCAGCACATTAAGACGCTGCATCGGAAGGACGTCTTGACAGCACACACCATGCGTAATGGCGTGTGCTGTGATGACATCCTCAGGAAGGGGTTGGAGCACTGTCTGTAGAGGCCCAAACTCTTGTCTGATGACTTGAAAGGGGAAACTTTTGACCAATGTTTAAAAGACATTCATACCTTCATTTTGGGCAACATTTTTATCCCATTTGCTGCACCAGTGAAGGTACAAGATAACCTTGCAAGACAATGTTAATGAAATCAGTTTTGTATTTATTGATATTATTTATTTATATTATTTATTTATTTTTCAGCATTGTTAATCTTGAACCACTTTTTCATAACTGGTATATGCATGACAACAAACAACAACACCAAGAAATGTGCGTGACAAAGTAAAATGTAAACAGACTTTTATTTTGTATTTTTGCCATTTCAGGATAACACACGTCATATTGCAGCATGGTAAGAATATAATTTTTTTTTTTAAGTCAAGTTAGTGTAGGGAGTACATTGTTAGTTTTGCTAAGGATTGCTGGAGCTGTGAAGGATTCACACTGAAAGTGTGTGTGTGCGTGCGTGTGTGCGCGTGTGAATAAGAGTCAGCCTATCTAACTACATCTGAGAAAATCTCAGACCTTGCCTCAATATTCAAAGATTAACAGAAAAGAATGCCGTCTGAAGACCTGGTGATATGGAAAGATCCATAATATTCTTAGCATGAAGGACTGTAAACTGTCCTTGGTACTGTCTTCCCCTGGGGAATGTCAATGCTCTTCTTTTTTCCAAAATATTAATATGCAGGGAAATGAGATGTAGTATTAAAAACAACCTTGGTTCTTCTTCCTTAACTATTAGCAATATTTTCTGTCTTTTGGGGGAGACTGGGGCTGCTGTGTAGGGAGGAAGGAGATTAAACCTATTTCCTCACCTATGGGTTGTAACCTTCTAGTTACTGTTTGACCAGAAGAAACCTGCCATTTGCTATAATGGTGGTGTGTGTTTTTTTACCTGACCTCAATGGCAAATGGAAGGCAGGGATAAAAGGCATGGTACACACCCAGTCCAAATGAGGAGAGATTACCAGTATAAAGGGGGAAGCACAAAGGAGGGTAGAGATTTGCTTGACATCACATCTACTCTGGCTTAAGGAACATGAGTTATACACACTGGTACTGCAGGCAGCTTGTGATTATTCTAATGTTAAGAACAATGTGTATAGCAGATTTATTTGCTGTGAGCTACCCTGTGGCAAAAGTGCATGCAATTCAGGCATTACTATGGTACTGTAAGAACCAAGTTACACTTTTATTTTGGAATTTTATTCCAAAAAGTATCCATATTTAACTGGTTAAAAAAATCAGAGTATTTATTGCAATTCAGAACAGAAGAGTATGACTCATTAATTTGTTCGGTACAGATTTGAAATACAAGAATTATATTTCATTTATCATATTAGTTCTTGGACAATACGGTGTCATTTCTTACCATGTTACTAATTAATTGTTAATTTGAATTACACAGATAAATACTGACTTTGTGTAGATGAATGGCCAAGGTGAATAACTGCACATTTAGGATAGCTGAATCCACATATCTACTTTTGTTTGCTTCATACATGTCCCAACAGTGGCAACCAAGGGTCTGCTTTTATTATGCACACTGGAATAAATCCACTATGAGTCCTAACTAGAGTTTGCTGTTCTTGTTGTGTGCCTTCAAGTCATTTCCAACTAATGGCGACCCTAAGGCAAACCTATCATGGGGTTTTCTTGGCAAGATTTGTTCAAGAGTGGGTTTCCCATGCTTTCCTTTGAGGCTGAGACAGTGTGAATTACCCAAAGTCACCCAGTGGCTTTGCATGGCAGAGCAGGAATCTGAACCCTGGTCTCCAGCACTCTAGTCCAGCGCTTAAACCACTACACCACACTGGCTCTCACAAACTAAAGAAAACCCATTGAAATAAATAGAATTTATTAGTTATCAATTACATCAGTCCCATTGATAGGCCAACAGATCTCCTTTACTTAGGACTACTAATCCATTTATCCCACTGTTTCCAAACTGACTGAAAAAGATACCTAATTTAACTGGGAAACCTTACAATTTCAACTTTCTTTTTAAAATGTGTAAGTTATGCAAAGTCATCTGGACCATTCCTATTGAGACCAAATCCATAGCAGTCCAGTCTATCCTTTACCTGACTTTACTACATCTGTATGTTGGTCCAATGAAGATTATGAAAACTAATGCGGGAGCAAAGTATTACCTTTTTAATTATGTAGTAGAGATAGAAAGAACTGCTGGAATTGTAGGAAGTGTATACATTTTTGTGCATTTTCTAATTTCTATTTCAAGAAATCAAAGAATTCCTCAGCTGTGTTGCAACTTAGTTTGTTGTTCAGGAGAACCCCAGAAGTAGAACTTCACTTAAAACATGTTAGGATTTTTTTTTTAAAAAAAAATGTTCTGTACACCTAAAAGCAGAGCCAATGTGGTGCAGTGGTTTTAGTGTTAGACTAGGGACCTTATCCCACGGGGCCAAAAGAAACAAGAATCCACTAAGAATCAGGCGCTATAGCGCTATAGTGTTCCGTGTGATTACACGACGTCGCTCAGAATCCGCTAAGAATCAGGCGCTATAGCGCTATAGTTTTCAGTGTGATTACACAACGTCGCTCAGAATCCAGCAAGAAACCGCTTGGAATGTAGCATCATTCGCATTCTTTTGAATGTCGGTTTCAGCGGGGATTGCAATAGCGCGAGCTTATCCATAGCACTATTATAGCGCTAGCGCCATATTTATACTAGCGCTATAGTACTGCAATGATGCTCATATCGCTTTCTTGCCACTTTTGAGAGCAGCGTGGGATAAGGTCCTAGGACTCTAGAGACCAGGATTCAAATCCTTGCTCATGGAAATCCAGTGGTTGGCCATGGACAAATCATAATCTCTCAGCCTCAGAGGAAGGCAATGGCAAGCCCCCTCTGAATCTCTTTAAAAATCCATGAAAGGATTGCCTTAAGGCTATTGTAAGCCAGAAATTATTTGAAAGCACAGAATGACAACACACCTAAAAATCCTTTTCTCTCCCTTCCCTTACTTTACCACTTTTTCTTTTTGCCTTAAGAGCAGTTACACCAATAGCATTACAATACTTTGTTATAAGAGAGGTAGAAGCACAAGGCCCAAGGGGGGAAGAGAAAACTTCAGTACCGTCCTAAAGATTTATACAAGTTCTCTGTTAACTCTCACACCTCTCTCCTGAAATTCTGAGAATTACAGTTTAATCTGATAGCAACAATTCCCTTGGAAGATCTGTATGTCTCAATTCACAAATAACTAATTTCTAGGGTAATTTAAAAGGTAGGAAAGCATGTCCGCATAAACAAGCATGTCTCCTGTGAAGGTATGTTATAAAAACATAGTGGGAAGGAAAACACAGGTAGATCAGAGCTAAATGGTGAAGCATGTGATGCATTTAATAAAGATCTTAGGTTCAGTCCCTGGCATCTCTAGTTAAAAAGAACAGGAAGCGAATGCTATAAAGGTGCTCCTTCTGCCTGAACTCCACCCAGGGCAGCCGCTGCCAGACAGAGCAGACATTATTGATCTTGATAGACTAAGGGCATTATTGCTTGAGCCAAGAGTGACCAAATGTTCTCCTTTTTCCAGGAATATGTTTTAAATTTCAACTTTCTGTCCAGAAGGAATTTCAAAATGTCCTCCATTTTGAGCATAACCAAGAAACATGAATTTACATTTATATTAGTGTTTTTAGGTTTTATTTTGTAATGTCCTACATTTTTCTTGGATGCTCTGTTTTGCAGTGCCTTGTCCTGCTTTGCGATGATGACCTCTGGTCACCCTACTTGAGCCCCATTCTTACCGCCATCACACAAATTAATGAAAATGCGCAGCCATTATCGCAGGTCTTTGCAATCGTGCCACTGCTGTTGCCATCACACTCTTTTCTTGACTCCCTTTTAACCCCATCTCCTTGCCCTATGCCCTACTCAGAATGCCAAACATTTTATTTTATTTTTTAAAAAATAACAATGCAATTCACAGTTTGGTAATGAGACTTAAGTAAAAAAAGAAAGAAAGAGAAGAAGAAAAGGAAGAAGACGCAAAACAAAACTGAATCAGGCTGCTTGGGAAGAGTAAGGGGGAAGGGGAACAGGGTGAGAGGAGAAGACTATGACAGCATGTGACTGACAATTTCGCAATTGCCCCAGGAGTGACATTTTGCACTACTGCTTTGCACTACTACTTTGAGGAGTCCTGGGAGTGTTGTGCAACTGGGAGCTATTGTCAGGTTTCCCCTGTCAATGAAAAAGGATGTCCTGACTACACTTAGCATACAAAGCAGCTATAGGTCAGAAGCAACATTGTGTGATAGATATTGCCAAAGGTGCTATTTTATTACTTTTGACCTTCCACATTTGCTGGGGCTAGAGGCACAGGACCCCTGTGACTATGGAAAAACTGCAAATAACAAAAACACTATGTTTTTACCCGAGAGAACACCTCTCTAGGAACATCTAGGTCCTCCAGTGCAACTCTTTGGTCAACATCTGCCAGACATTGACCACAGAATTACGCTGGAGGAGCTACAAATGCCTAGTGGAGTGTTCTCTCTAGGAATCTCTAGGTCCATCAGTGCAACCTCTGGTTAAAGTTGACCACAGAGTTGCCCTGGAGGACCTAGATATTCCTAGAGAGAACATATGAATAAAATCCATGAATAATCAAAACTGCAAAAGTCAAAGCCACAAATATGGAGGGATGAGTATACTATAATCACAGCTCAAAAGCTGTGTGTAGTAAAGTCCTAAGTGTGGTGTGAGACCCCTATGATCAGGGAGCAGGAAAAAGATTAACAAAAATCTTTAAGCAGGATGGGAGAACCCATGTCCCTTCAAATGCTGTTGCACTCTAACTCTCATCAATGTGGTACATCAGCTTTGGGGAGGGGTGCGGAGATAATGGGAAAAGGGAATCATTGGCATCTGGATGACCATGGCACCCAAGTCCTGTCTCCAACAATTGAAAGTGAGTCTCACGGCTTCAGCTGAAGAGAAAAGTGAGTCCGGAGTCTGAAAAGGTTAAAAACTACTCAACTATTCTTGGAGACGCACCATGCCAGGCATTTAAGATTCACCAGAGAAAAAGATTCCATGACAATTTAAGACAAGATTCCCTGAGGACTGTTCAGATATATATGTCCAAACTTACCAGTCAGGGAGGAAGTGCCCTCTAGAGAGAAAACCAACACTACTGCAAGCCAGTAATATTCACTGATTGTAAGACATTTCTAGGAACAGAAAACTACAGCTGACACATAAAAGTTGTAAAAGACCAGATGCTATTATTCTAATGGAAAAAATACTTTAAAGGCCATTACAGACATTTCTAAAGCAAGCATATCCATTCCCTGCACAGGCTATGACAAGTAAGTGCAAAGATGTGGGGGATTAGGAGAGTTCAGTGCTATAGAATCCAGCATGGTATAGTGGTTTGAGCATGGGACTATAACTCTAGAGACCAGGGTTTGAATCCCAGCCAACCACCAAAATCCACTGGGTGACCTGGGTCTACTCAGCGACCACTTCAGAGTCATCATGAATTGGAAACAACTTGAAGGCACTTTGGAGTCATCATGAATTGGAAACTTGTGGAACTGCCTACCACACCCTAAACTCAGCTTTAGTTAGTAGCATTTGTTCATTACCTTTTCACATGCATGTGCAGGAAAGCTGTATTTTGTAATATGGAAATCAGCAATGTCAGTGAAAATTTCCTGCTACTGGGGAATTTGTCAACACCAAAGCTGGGGTTAAAATTATATGTGGACATCTTTTTAAAGTGTTTTGCCATACTTTTCCAGTTTGTGTCAGTTTTGCATGTATTCAGTTCCAAATCTGTTCCATTTTCACACACTGCTGTGCATTTTGAATAATTTGAAAATTCACATGCATTTTCATAAACCATTTCTCCTAAAATATGTGGTAAGAATCACTGTGTACATATCCATGTATTAGTCCTTGATTTGCAGATTAAATCAATTTTGTTAGAAATGCAGACCAAAGTTCTTCCCCATTCTCACTCCATATACAGTGTGAACTATGCAGTGTTAATGTTGTTTTTGTTGTGTGCCTTCAAGTCGTTTGGCTATCATGGGGTTTTCTTGGCAAGTTTCTTCAGAGGGTGTTTGTCTTTGCCTCCCTCTGAGGCTGAGAGTGTGTGACTTGCTCAAGATCACCCAGTGGGTTTATATGGCCGAGCCAAGATTCAAACCCTGTGTCTTCAGAGTCATAGTCCAACACTCAAAACACTATGCCACATTGGCTCTCTGATGTTAATATCAGTATTTAATTAATACTTAAAAGCAGCTGGTGAATTTGGAGCCCATAAATACACAAAAAGGGCTGATCAAAACCAAGACACTGGCCCAATGTGGACCAGGATGGTGTTGCGTTTTGATCTTGAGTGTTGGACTAAGAGTCTTGGAGACCAAGACTTAAATCTCTATTCAGCTGTGGGACCTCCTAGGATACACTTTGAGCAGATCTAACTCTCAGCCAAAGAGAAGACAAGGCAAACCTCCTCTGAGGAAATCATTCTAAGAAAACCAGCAAAAAACGAGAGGTCATTATAAGCCAAAGTCAATCTGAAGGCACATCACCACAACTGGCCCAAAAGAAAGGAAAGTCATGTCAGTAAATATACAGATTTTTGTTTGTAATTCTCCATTAAACAATGTTGCCTTTCCTATCCCTTTCAGTTCTTCCACTTCAAAGTAACTGGCATCAAACCACAAGATACTTTTTTTTTTTTTTTTTTTTTTTTTTTTTTTTTGCTAAGGTTACAGAGGACGTTTCTCAATCAAGGGGCTTGTTCTGAATGAGAGACATTCTGGTTACTGAAAGG